GAAGATGTTTTGTCCGGTTCTGGACCATTATTATAGACCAGAACGAACCGAAAGGTCTTTGAGTTCTCATTTCCGATCAATGACTTAGTTTTAACCTGTGACTGGATTTTGTATTTCTCTAATTACGTGTCACTGAATCGCTTAAAAATTATTATGATGATATAACTTGAGTTTCAAAGAGTTCTCAAGAAAATAAAAATAAAATTAAAAGGTGAATCTAACATATATCTCAGGCTTAACAATTTAACGCCATTTAAAAGCTGTCTTCCAATGTTTTTTAAATAAAATAATTTATAATATGCCACGTTTTAAAAGAGATGCTCTCAGATTTAAATATCTTACTTAATGTGTGACGATAAATCAATAATATATAGTAATGTCTATTAATAAATAATATTTATTTTCCTTGAATATCTAAACGGCGTTTTAAAGAGTATTAAAGACAGTTAACATGTAAAAGTGTCCACTTATCATACTAATGTTGTAGCTACGAGTCAAACATGATATTATCCAATGTAAAAAAACTGGCCCCAGCAGCTTATTTTTGCTAGAAGTCAACATCTGAACCACATCTTAAGACTGTTTATGAAGGTTTTATATATACTGTTATATATATATATATATATATATATATATATATATATATATATATATATATATATATATATATATATATATAATATATATATATATATATATTTAACTTATATATAATATATATACCAGATATCATGAGGTGTATTTCTCATAGTATATATGCTGAGAGTTTACTGTTAATCCCTGTCTTTTGAGATTATAGTATTTTTGACTGGTGGTGCACAGATTACAAACAACTTAAATTATCGATCATCGTGTATTCGGTAGGCTTTAAACCCGATATGCCTTTCTTTTCAGTGTTTGGATTACTTAATAATTGTTTGTTTTTCTCACAAATTTTAAATGAGTTTATTAATTTTGCTTTGTGCAAATGACTACCTCGACCCTGGAGCCAGTCATTAAGTTTACCTGTCTTATTTATGTACCGAGGTTATGAAGTTGATGTTTGCCTCCGGCGAGATGTTCAGTGTGATGTTTACCCCTAAGTCCTTCTCTTCAATGTTTACCTTTTTTTTTATAACCCTTCCAGTCTGTGCTCTTCCTCCTGTCTTCTTTTCACTGATTTTCATAATCTTTAACTTACTGGTGTTGAACTCCATATCCTTATTCATCAAGATCTCTTCGATGTTTCCTCTTATTTCCACGCATACTTCTCTTGGTTCTTCCATCTTGATACCTGCTCCTTCATTATTTTATTTTCATGTAACTGTTAATGAATTTCGATTTCGTTGTAACCTTTAAAAGTTATATATATAGTTGCCTCTCCCCTCATTTTACCCACGCAAATTCGTTCTTGGCTCTCATAATTATTTTTATTTTTAGCCATCATATGTTTTCTGTGTTTTTTCTATGTTGTCTTTCTCTTTGTCTTGTTTCCCAGCTGATCTGGTTAAATGGCCAACTCTCTTTCTTTGTGTTTTGCTTTTCTATTACTCCTGATTGGCATGAATATTCCTGTGACCTACATTTAACCGAATAGGCTGTCCACTGTGAGGTTCATTGCTAGCAATTTTGCATTCTCATTGTATTCTCGTAAGGAAGCCTTTTACTCCTGAATTGTGTCTCTCTTGTAGTCTTGTATCTTGGTAGTTCCGCTCATGTCCATCAGGCATTCGTAAACCTATCACTGTTCCTGCTGGTTCATAGGGACAGTCTATATTTGCCTCCGCCTATGTGGTTCGTTCAGTGTGAAAGCCAAGTGTAATGTTGCTGGCTGGTCTATATTAGGATTGAATCCCCGTGGGACACCACTCACTATGTTCGTCCATCCTGAGACCTCCTGAATTATCGCTCTCGCTTTCCCTTAGGCATTCCTGGAGACAGTAAAGTGTCTTCCTTGTAATCCTGTTTACTATTCCATTTTAGTGAATATTCCTTTGGAGGGTACGTTGTCAAATTCATTCTTACAATAAAAGATTTGCACTCTACTAAACCCTTTCTTTTCTGTACATGAATGGTATGCAGTATCATCAAGATGAAGAATTAGACACGTGTGCAACAAATGGGTATCTTCGTTTGCAGACGTTTCGCCCTCCAGGGGCTTTATAAGTACAAATAAACATACCCAGATGTTGCACATGCTTCCAATTCTTCCTCTCTTTTCTATTTAAGGTCTTGTTACTCTGTCGTAGAACATAACCATATTTTTTTTAAAGGCGTGGACCAGTAAGACAGCTATATATGCCTCGGTTAGATGACGAAAATCGACAGCGGCGGGTCATCATGTGACGAAGACCCGCGTCAGGAAACACTTGTCCTGTTTCTTGACAAACCTTACCTAACCTAACCTGTTGTAGGACCCAGTAGTTTGTAGCCGAATTTACCTTCTTTAAGCTCTTTTGCTGGCTATAGTTTGTAATATCGGCCCTCTACATGTGTTCCACCTCTCTTCTAGTTATTTACTTAGCATGCAGATCAATGATATTAGTCTTCACTTCTCACCTACTTGTCTATCCCCTCGTTAAATACTTGTCTATCCTTCGTTTAATACTTGCATACCCCCTCGTTTATTAGTTGTCTATCCCCTTGTTCAATACCTGTCTATTCCCTCGTTTAATACTTGTATATCCCCTCATTTAATACTTGGCTGTCCCCTCGTTTAATACTTGTCTATTCCTTCATTTAATACTTGTATATCCCCTAGTTTAATACTTGCCTATTTTCTTGTTTAATACTTGTCTATTCCCATGTTTAATACTTGTCTATCCCCTTGTTTAATACTTGTCTATCCTCTCGTTTAATACTTATATATTCCCTCGTTTAATACTTATCTATCCCCTCGTTTAACATCGGCTCCACATCTGTGGTTTTACATCTTCCAGAAGCTGTTTTTTCTCAATTATCCCGAGTGAGTCTCAATTATCCTGAGTGAATCTCTGATAATTCTCTCAGGATTCAAGGTGACATGATGTCAGGTGCCAATTGCTTTTGATTTCCGTGCGTATGTGTGTAGGGTTTCGTGTCTTTTATTTCGTCTCTCTGTAGTATATCACTGTCAACAGTATTTCGTAAGCTGCCCCATTGACGGAATATCTCTCCTTGACACCAGGCAATTCTTTCAGTTATCTTACTCCACTTCACCTAAGATAGTCTGTGACACAAACTTCACTGTTAGGATGTTATTTACATGAAGTGGTTCCTTGCCAATGAGAACGAATGCAAAGATCCAAATTGGAGAAGAAGTCTTCATTAGTACAACGTTTCGCTCTGTTGCGTGGACCGAAACATAGTTATAATTGTTCTTTGAAACCAAACTGGATACCGTGACTAATAAAAATGCAGAAGGCCTCTTTTTTTTTAAATGATTCCTTGATGACTCCTTGTGACCTGACCTACAGAACACGTCCGAGGTGACGAGTGATCCTGAGGCAGCCTCCTCCACCATGGATGCTTTGGAACAGCAGAAAATCGGCATGTGGCAGACCTTCGCTGTCTTCATGACCCCATCCATACAGCGAGTCGTCGAGTTCGCTAAGAGAGTCCCAGGTGAGTGTGTGTGTGTGTAGAGGGGGGAGAGTATAAAGAAGGAAGGTAGGTAATAAATTACGAAAGTTATGGAGAGTGAGGGAACGTGAGGGTGAGAATAAATGAATATAGGAAGGCGAAAGGAACGGAGGGATAGCGAGGGAGGGGAGAGGGAACATGAGGGAATGTGAGAGAACGCTAGAGAACAGGATAGAGAGTGAATGTGAGAATAAGAGATCATGAATGAGAGTGAGAGCACATGAGGGAGAGTGAGAGGACTTGAGGGACAAGGAGAGGACTTGACGGAAAGGAAGATGGTGTGAGGAAGAAAATGAGAGAAAAGGGAGAGTTAAAAGAACGTGGGAAAGGCGAAAATAAAATGAACGAAAGTGAGATAACATGAAAGGGTAAGGAGACATTGAGAGTGAAATAAGGGTGAGCGAGAGTGAGAGAACATGATGGAGAGTAAGGGAACTTAAGAAGAGTAAGAACAGGAACGATAATGATCAAACATGAGAGAAAGTGAAGGAACATGAGAATGATACAACGATAAAATGAGAAATTAGATGACAATAACAAAAGTCGACTTGTGGCTGTAAAACACGAGTCACAATCTCGGCCCAAGAAAATAAAATCTGCTTCTCCAATTTTCCGGTGCAGTAAATATTGCAAAAAAAAAAACTTTAGCTAATTCGTAACTTATACGCGAGTCACAAATATATTAAAATTTCACCGAGAAACAGGTAGTGATCTGATTTTGTAACTTCTCTGATACTCAGCAACACTAAGTGTTCCAGCCTGTCACTTCTTGTAAAGAGTGTCGATGTATCCTCCCTTGCTCTTTTTCTCTCTGTCTCTGTATCTCTCTCTCTCTCTGTTCTTCTCTCTTTCTCTGGATAATTTACTTTCTGTTGTGAAAAATTCTCAATCATTATGGATTTAAACGCCATTTTCATCATGATTTTTTATGGTATTATTTGTGTTGTAGTGGTAAAATATATTTATATTTAATTTGAAGAAATAAGCAACAAACAGGATGCTTTTTGGAGCGTCTTGCGAACCCTCACAAGAAGCTACATGCTGACAAATTAAAATTTATGCCACAAACACTCACTCTGTCTCCCTCCTTTTCGCAGGATTCTCGGAGCTATCTCAAGACGATCAGCTTATTCTGATCAAGGTGGGTTTCCTGGAGCTGTGGTTGACGCACGTCAGTCGGATGGTCAGCACCTTAGACAACACACTAACCTTCAGTGACGGCTCCTACGTCACCAGAACCCAGATGGACATGATGTTTGACGTAAGTCAGGATTATTATTGATGTTGATGCTTGTGATAATGGTATTGAGGATAATGATGCTGATGTTGAGAGTGATGTTTCCTTCCCCTGGTTTCTGAAGGTCAGCCTGAGGTGATAGATTGGTGTTCTAATGGGCAGTCAGAATTGTATTAAAGACTAACAACCAATTACACGTACTTATTAGTCTAGTAGAATAGGGAGGAGCTTGAAACCTCAGTTGAAATTGTTAGGCAAAACTAGGTTTGAGTACTGGGACTGGAATAAACACCAGTAACTAAGAGTGGATCAGAATGCCAGGAGAAACTTTTAAGACAATTCAAGAAGGCCGTAAGTATCGTAGTTTTAGGGCTTATAATGGCATTCAAGGATGGAGGACCTAAACTCTTACAGAAACAGCAAAACAGTGGCATTTTGCTATTCACGTGAATTCCAGTTAGCAAATGTTAGATTATATTTCTAACTCAACCCTAAGATACCGACTGAGCTGATGACCTACACTGCAGCCACTTACTTGTATCGTTTGTTAATGCTTAAAGGAAATACACTTGAAGACTATGAAAACACTTAGAGGAATTTTATTTGTATAGTTAACGACACGCAGTTGAAGTGGATACCCTTGTCATTGAAGAATACACAAGAAAGAGGATTATATATACAGGTACATACAGAAGAAGGTTAGGTGCACGGGAGCATTTCGGAACGAGGGAGCATATCAGATGTACAATGGACTCTTAGTGGTGGCTTCTGGACACCTGAATAATTTGCAAGTATGGGGTAAGTTAAAAATTTAGCTAACATGAAGCAAAACTGGTTCTGAATAATAGTGCTGATAATGGCGGATTCTAAACATTTTCTCACATCTCTGTTACGTTCTTGACAACTAGTTAAGAACCTGTTTATTTCACGAGATGTGTAGCATATTTATGCTTGTATTAGGCGTTCTACATGCACACTTGTGTTTTCTTGATAGTGTGACTATGTTCTCAACCGTGGGACAATATTCCAGACCTGTGACAGTGTTCCAGACCGTGTGACAAAGTTCCAGTCCGTGTGACAATGTTCCTGGCTGTGTGACAATGTTCCGGGCCGTGTAACGATGTTCCAACCGTGTGACAATGTTCCGGACAGTGGGACAATGTTCCGGACCGTGTGACAATGTTCGGGACCGTGGGACAATGTTCCGGACCGTGGGACAATGTCCCGGACAGTAGGACAATGTTCTCCTGTTACCTTTGTCACAATCATTACAATGAATGATATAGAGTCCTGTTATTTTCCACATCATGGCGTCTGTTTATGTCTCTAACAACGTCCTTGAAGGCAGTAGAAGTGACGGATGCGATGCTATATCTGCTAGACAGCTGTCAGTGAAGCTCACGGGATCACTACAGTTGGGGAAAACGGTACATCCTGTCATAATTTTAAGTGATCTTTTCTTGTTGTCATATTTGGAGATGTTTTAATTCTATGACATTCTCCTAGAATCTCCGGGCTGCATGATCGGTACTCTCTGAGGAAGAACCTTTTCAGTATCTTTTTCTGGTTCTAGCGTTTTGTGTGACATGATGTAGATAAGGTCACGTTTATCCCGGGAAGCCTCGAATTTATGCTGAGTATCTGATTTGCTAAGCTGAGCATCTAAGAAGGGAAGTCCGTCGTTGTGCTCCTCCTCCATCGTAAGTTGGAGGGAAAGCTCGAAAGAGCAAAGTTTTCTCTGGAAGGGTTAGTGTTGAGTGTGATGACAAGGATGTCATCGATATACCGCTGCCAGACTGTGTTAGTCAGACAGTATACTTGGATCGTTCGGCTTCCAGCTGTTTCGTGTAGAGGTCGGCCAGAACTGCACGGGATTTTAGGTTAGCCAGAACTGCACGGGATTTTAGGTTAGCCAGAACTACACTGGTTGTTGAGGTTAGCCAGAACTACACTGGTTGTTGAGCCGGAACTACACTGGTTGTTGAGGTTAGCCAGAACTACACTGGTTGTTGAGGTTAGCAGACTACATGGTTGTTGAGGTTAGCCAGAACTACACTGGTTGTTGAGGTTAGCCAGAACTACACTGGTTGTTGAGGTTAGCCAGAACTACACTGGTTGTTGAGGTTAGCCAGAACTACACTGGTTGTTGAGGTTAGCCAGAACTACACTGGTTGTTGAGGTTAGCCAGAACTACACTGGTTGTTGAGGTTAGCCAGAACTACACTGGTTGTTGAGGTTAGCCAGAACTACACTGGTTGTTGAGGTTAGCCAGAACTACACTGGTTGTTGAGGTTAGCCAGAACTACACTGGTTGTTGAGGTTAGCCAGAACTACACTGGTTGTTGAGGTTAGCCAGAACTACACTGGTTGTTGAGGTTAGCCAGAACTACACTGGTTGTTGAGGTTAGCCAGAACTACACTCTAACAGTTGAATCCATGACACTGCCAAATATTTTGTCTGTAGCAGTTATTGTTAAGAGAGAAACAGCTCAAACTACCACAAAGTTCAGCTAAGTCAATAAAGTTTTGTCTTGGCAAGGGAAGATTCATATTGTTTCATTTTTCTGCATAGCAAATAGATGGTTTAATCAGTAGATTTTTTTTTTTGTAAATTTCTTGTTTTTGATGTTGATGTCTTTAATCCCAGGTAATCCCACGCATCCCTCTTCTTTCTGGACCTGTATATACACTCATCTTTTTCATGCATTTTCTTCTGGCTTGATAAAGGCTATTGTGTGGGAGAAACCTTGGCGGAAATATAAGTATCCACTGCATCTAAGAGCAATACATTACACATGTTGATGCTTGTTCCAGTTCCTGTCTGTATATTTCTACCTCATTTGAGGTCATCTTCAGCAGAAGAAAGGCTCATTTAGAGGTTGAAATATGATGGCTAAATTCATTCATGTGTTTTCTTAGTCTACATATGGGTATACTTTGAATGTTGACAAATGATAATCATCTTTTCACCTTAAAAATCATCACTGCTTGTTGATTTCTGAATTCACCTTAATTAAAATCTCCCCGTATTCATTTCCTTAGACACAGTCGTTTAGTGATGCAGAATTATAGAACAGTTTGATTACTACGAGTCTCTTTTTTTCCAGCACATTTCATGAATCTTAGCATACGTCACTGTCAGGAAATTTTTCACAGCAATAAAGCTACTAATTTTAATATGTAATAAAGACAGATTGTCTTAATAAAGACAGATTGTCTTCTACAATCTCACACTCATGGAAAACACTCGTCCTCGCAACACCTAAATTCCATCTTCATGATACAGTTTTCTTTAAAGTTTAAACTATCCCATTATTTATATTAAACCTTTACCTCCAGCAAAATGCTTTCACGCGAGGCTTTCTTAAAAGAAATTCTTGCACACGTCGCTAGCACTTGTTATAAGCTCCTTCCAGATCTCTTCCTCGGGACTTTCTAACAAGATAACTCTTACGACAGAAACCTTCCTTCACTACCTCTGATCTCCCATAGTTCTTCTCTGTACAGCCTCCATCACTGCCTCCACCATTCTCAAAGATGGTGATTTCTAATTATTTTAGACACACTAGTAGAATGTTTAAAAGTATAATCATCTTACAGGAGTCTCCTAGTCTTCACTACCCGAGATACGAAACTCATTCCTTGTAATGATGGAATAAGACAGGGAAACACAGCAAGCCTTTATTTCCACTAATTAACTGTCGTAAACAATATTATTGCAGCACACTACAGATTTACATACGTAACTTTGCCTATATATAATAATAATAATAATAATAATAATAATAATAATAATAATAATAATTAATAATAATGTCTTCAAGTGACAAATCTTCTTCTCCAAACAGCAAGACTTCGTGTCAACAGTATTTAATTTCGCCATGACGTTTAACAACCTGAACCTCAACGACACGGAACTGGCACTCTTCACAGCGGTCGTGCTGCTGACTGCCGACAGACCCGGGATTACCGACAGCAAGGTCATCGAGCAGCAGCAAGATAAGATTATCGAGGCTCTCAGAGTTCAGGTTAGTCGAGGCTTCGTGACTTTGAATGTAAAGATAGACTTAAGTTTATTAGATTGATAGAGGGTTTTGTGCTGTGTTTTGTGTGTGTGTGTGTGTGTGAGTGTGGGTGTGTGTGTGTGTGTGTGTGTGTGTGGGTGTGTGTGTGTGTGTGTGTGTGTGTGTGTGTGTGTGTGTGTGTGTGTGTGTGTGTGTGTGTGTGTGTGATGTGTGTGTGTGTGTGTGGGTGTACTGAATGTGGATTCGTGGGTCTCCTTTTTAAAAGAGAGAGAGAGAGAGAGAGAGAGAGAGAGAGAGAGAGAGAGAGAGAGAGAGAGAGAGAGAGAGCTCACCACTGATCATACATCTATCATATTAATTTAAAGAAACATTATCGTCACATACACGATGAATGTCAAATGTTATTTTGTTCTATGAATCATTACCTGTCCTTGTCATGCCACACGTTTTCACTCTCTCTTATCCATCTCTAACTCATTCCCCTCCTGTTGTGAATGTTAGACGTTAATTACCATCAGAAAGGATCGTTTCCATCCTCTAATTGAATGTTAATACCAGCACTCCACTGCACAAACACGGTCCTTTATTACAAAATTATTAAAAAATTAGGTAGTGAAATAGCAATTAAATAACGTACTTGCTATTTCCCAGGTGGGTCGCAACCACGCCAGCGAGATGCACTTGTTTCCCAATGTTGTGATGAAGATGCCGGAGCTACGACAGATCGGGGCTAAACATCACGAACACCTCAACTGGTTCCGCTCAAACTGGTCAAGACTCAAACTGCCTCCTCTCTTCGCCGAAATTTTCGACATTCCCAAGTGTGAAGAGGATTTATTATGAGCGGTGTATTGTAGGTGAGTATCGGGCATAATGGTGTTGGAGAGCATTTGTTTGTAATAGGTGGGGTTTGCACTTATGGCAAGTGTGTCCTGAAACTCTAGACCAGTGTGTAAGTCACTCAGCCAGCTGGCTCTTAACCTTCATCCAACTAGAAATATAATAATAATAATAATGATAATAATAATAATAATAAATTTTCTACATGATACAACATATACATACCTAGCTGACATTAATGACATACTATATTTAAAACTTCTTGTTATGCAGAGCATTTCGGGCAAATTAGGTTAATTTTGTCCTCAGGATGCGACCCACACCAGGTACTTATTTACTGCTAGGTGAACAGGGACATTATAGTTAATAATGCGAGTAATCACGAAAACCCTTGGACTTACACGGTTTTTTCAATGTGGTTATTTTGTATACTGTGATATAAGTCACTCAGTCTGACTTTTTTGGGTTATCCTAGATTCTCTACACACATAAGAACATAAGAACATAAGAACGAAGGAACACTGAAGAAGGCCTACTGGCCCATGCGAGGCAGGTCCAAGTCTCCTACCGGCTTAAGCCAATGCACCCAACCTAGTCAGGTCAGGTCACATTGACTTAAGGGAGGAACACGGCAACCGACCTGGTAGCACAAGCTATCAGGTCTAACTCACACCCACCCACATCCACTCATGTATTTATCCAACCTATTTTTAAAACTACACAATGTTCTGGCCTCTATAACGGTACTTGGGAGTTTGTTCCACTCATCCACAACTCTATTACCAAACCAGTACTTTCCTATATCCTTCCTGAATCTGAATTTTTCCAACTTAAAACCATTGCTGCGAGTCCTGTCTAGGCTAGATATTTTCAGCACACTATTTACATCCCCTTTATTTATTCCTGTCTTCCATTTATACACCTCAATCATATCCCCCCTAATTCTACGTCTTTCTAGAGAGTGCAGATTCAGGGCCCTTAGTCTATCCTCATAGGGAAGGTTTCTGATACATGGGATCAACTTTGTCATCCTCCTTTGTACATTTTCCAGAGAATTTATATCCATTCTGTAATAAGGTGACCAAAACTGTGCAGCATAATCTAAATGAGGCCTAACCAAGGATGTATAGAGTTGAAGAACAACCTGAGGACTCCTATTATTTATGCTTCTTGATATGAAGCCAAGGATTCTATTAGCTTTATTGCGAACACTTATGCACTGTTGTCTTGGTTTCAGATTACTGCTAACCAGAACTCCTAAATCTTTTTCGCAATCCGTAATATTAAGATCTACATTATTTAGTTTATATGTGGCATGGTTATTGTCCTGTCCAACATTTAGAACTTTGCATTTGTCTATATTAAACTGCATCTGCCACTTCTCCGACCACTGCATCAGTCTATTCAAATCTTCCTGGAGTGCTCGAATGTCCTCGTCAGAATGAATTCGACGGCCTATTTTGGTGTCATCGGCAAACTTGCCGATGTCGCTCTTTATGCCCTCATCTATGTCGTTTATGTAGATTGTGAACAGCAGGGGGCCCAACACTGACCCCTGTGGAACACCGCTCGTGACACTTCCCCACTCTGATTTCTCCCCATTTATGCAAACTCTCTGCTGCCTATTTGTCAACCATGCCTCTATCCAGGAAAAAATTTCTCCTCCTATTCCATGTGCTTTAATTTTCCTCAATAGTCTCTGATGTGGGACCCTGTCAAAAGCCTTACTGAAGTCCATATACACAATATCATATTCATTACCATGATCTACCTCCTCAAATACCTTAGTGAAAAAAGTTAATAAATTCGTAAGGCAGGAACGCCCCTTTGTAAAACCATGCTGAGATTCGTTGATTAATTTATGCTTTTCAAGGTGGCTACGAACTGCCTCGGCAATTATTGATTCCATAAATTTTCCCACTATGGAGGTTAGGCTTATTGGTCTATAGTTCGAAGCTAAGGACCTGTCACCTGTTTTGAAAATAGGTATCACATTTGCCATTTTCCACTTATCTGGCACCATGCCAGTTTGTAGTGATATGTTGAAAAGATTAGCCAAAGGTGTGCTAAGCTCCTCTTTACATTCCTTTAGAACCCTTGCATACAGTTCATCAGGGCCTGGGGATTTGTTAGGTTTTAATTTATCTATTTGCCTAAGGACCATGTCACTTGTGACCCTAATAGTACACAGTTTATTATCGTCCTGTTCTACATAATTTATCATTACTGGAATATCGCTGGTATCCTCCTGTGTAAAAACTGAGAGGAAGTATGTGTTAAAAATTCTACACATTTCCTTATCACTGTCAGTGAGCTGACCCGAGGAACTTTTGAGTGGGCCTATCTTGTCCCTGATCTTACTTCTGTATACCTGAAAGAATCCTTTTGGGTTAGTCTTCGATTCTCTTGCAACTTTAACCTCATAATCTCTTTTTGCTTTTCTAATTCCCTTTTTTATTTCTCTCTTTAACTGAATATATCGATTTCTCAATTGCCCCTCTCCTCTTTTGATTTGCCTATATATGCCTCTCTTTTGACCAATCAGATATTTTAATCTATTGTTCATCCATTTAGGATCATTTTTGTTTGATCTGATTTCCCTATTTGGAACATAATTTGACTGAGCAGCTAGAACTATGCCCTGGAAAGCATCATATCGGCAACCATCACCACCTACCTGACCCTTAGTCAGGTCATTCCAGTTCAGCCCACCTAAGTAATTTTTCAGTCCTATGAAATCAGCCAAGCGAAAGTCAGGGACGGAGACTTGATTGCCATTATTAGGGGAATTCCATGATATATTAAAACTGAGTGATTTGTGATCACTTTCCCCAAGCTCATCATTAACCTCAAGATTATTACTAATCACCTGTTTCCTGTGAACGTATAGCAACAATGCTATTTGCAATATTCAAGTGAAATGGACTTTTTCAATCGTTCTTCACAACACCTCTTACATAGTGGACACACTGTTTTGTGGCACTTCTATAGTCGGTTTAATTTGATCTACACCACTCTTGTTCACTCAACAACATTTCGACAACCACCAGTACAGCACGGAGTTGCTTGCTACTGCGTGTGTTCTCAGGGCAAGATTCCGCTTTCCAGAGAATAATCCCGCATCCCTTCTCTGTCTGGCACTGTCCAGATTTTATCACACAGTTTATCATTCATCAGTGCCGTGTTTTTATCACCTCCTGTAGCTATTACGTTACAATGATCTACGTTGTATTTAGCTGTATAGTCCTTGTGGCTTAGCGCTTCTTTTTGATTATAATAATAATAATACGTTGTATTTAAATCGTGCATTTGTCAAACCACCTGTTAATTTGAGAGTACCTTGATATTTGACAGTATCTTGATATTTAATAGTACCTTGATATTTGACATTATCTTGATATTTAATAGTACCTTGATGTTTGATATTATCTTGATATTTAATAGTACCTTGATGTTTGATAATATCTTGATATTTAATAGTACCTTGATAACTGACATTATCTTGATATTTAATAGTACCTTGATATTTGATATTATCTTGATATTTAATAGTACCTTGATATTTGACAGTATCTTGATATTTAATAGTACCTTGATATTTGAAATTACCTTGATATTTAATAGTACCTTGATATTTGACAGTATCTTGATATTTAATAGTACCTTGATATTTGACATTATCTTGATATTTAATAGTACCTTGATATTTGACAGTATCTTGATATTTAATAGTACCTTGATATTTGACATTATCTTGATATTTAATAGTACCTTGATGTTTGACAGTATCTTGATATTAATAGTACCTTGATATTTGACAGTATCTTGATATTTAATAGTACCTTGATATTTGACAGTATCTTGATATTTAATAGTACCTTGATATTTGACAGTATCTTGATATTTAATAGTACCTTGATATTTGACAGTATCTTGATATTTAATAGTACCTTGATGTTTGACAGTATCTTGATATTTAATAGTACCTTGATATTTGACAGTATCTTGATATTTAATAGTACCTTGATATTTAACATTATCTTGATATTTAATAGTACCTTGATATTTAACATTATCTTGATATTTAATAGTACCTTGATATTTGACAGTATCTTGATATTTAACAGAATCTTAGTATTTTCTTAATTTTAATGCTATGCTTGCTTCATACCTATGCAAATTCATTATTATTTTTTTTTTTTTTGGGGTGGGGGGGGGGAGAAATGATTTATTAACTAAAAAAAATTATGATCCTGGCGAAACTGGTGACCTTTCACTGTGAGATTTTTTTTATCACTTGCCTTTTTTTCTGTCGGCTAGAAATTATCCTATTACCTATATTTTGAAATGTTCAGAACAAAAAAATTTTTTGTGGAATTCTGTAGATTATTTGTAAGATCCAAGTAAATTCAGTCTTATCTTGTTTTTGCCCCGTTTAATTTATATAACCATGATAGTAGGTTATAGATTGTTATACACACAGGATTTTGCTGATCTGGAGTCTGGTCTCCAGGTAGATGAGACGGACACATGTAGAACACTCATGTATCTTTACTGTGAAGAGGTAATCTGAGGTAAACATTCCCTTGATAGACGGTGTTCAGTCCTTCAACCTTAGATTTATAAGGCTGAGGGACTGATCACCTTGATAGACGGTGTTCAGTCCTTCAACCTTAGATTTATTAAGGCTGAGGGACTGATCACCTTGATAGACGGTGTTCAGTCCTTCAACCTTAGATTTATTAAGGCTGAGAGACTGATCACCTTGATAGACGGTGTTCAGTCCTTCAACCTTAGATTTATTAAGGCTGAGAGACTGATCACCTTGATAGACGGTGTTCAGTCCTTCAACCTTAGATTTATTAAGGCTGAGAGACTGATCACCTTGATAGACGGTGTTCAGTCCTTCAACCTTAGATTTATTAAGGCTGAGAGACTGATCACCTCATGTTGCCTCTTCTCGTTTTCCAGCATCCATTCTCTGCACTGGATCAATAAAGCCACTGGCTGGCGAAATGCGTCCATAATAAAGATACCCAAGTGTTGCACTAGTATACTGCTAGTATAATAAGGTTCTCCAGGTGTTTCACGTGGTTTATTATAACAATAAAAATACCTAAGTGCTGTACATGTTATGTATCCCGTTAATATGAATGAATTTTCCAGGTGTTTCATGTGGTTTATATTTACTGTTGTTTTCCACTTGACAGAAAGACAGGACCTATATGGAAAAAGATATATATATATTTCAGGACATTTATTAATGGAAACGTTTCGCCACTAATGGTTTCTTCAATCATAATACTGAAGAAGACACTCGTGGCGAAACGGTGCCTTTAATAAATGTCCTGAACTGCACAAAAAAGTCTTTTTCCACATCTTGTCGGTATCTCCAGACCATTTATATATTAGTAAAATATTTACACTTTTCTATCTAGCCTCTACTTTAAAACCTTGTAAAGGAAGCCTCGCAAAGCTTTGAAAGATCAGAGAACTTCCTTCCGCCCATTCCTTCAAAACTTTTGGTGGTATCTCCTCTGGTCATATTAACTTTGTTTTTCTTGACCTCTTCTTTGGTTTATCATTGTGCTTCACCTCACCTGCTTTTGTGGTGTTTTAAATCCACTCTAAAAATAATTTTCATAGTAAATTCATAGTAAAATCCCACAGTTCCTCCTATTACGCGATTTGTTTTTTTCACAGCTGATTTTTGTCTTTCACGATTACATTATTTCCTTTGAATATGAGATTTAATTTTGATATTTTTCTAAGGTTTCCTTCATTTTCTTTCTACTTATTCGGGTTTATTCCTTACTGCCTTGTCTGTATATCTCTGATAAATTCCTGGTTTGGTATGATGATTGTACTGGCTTAACCTACGCGTGTATTTTCCTAACGCGTTATTAATAATTGTATAATTACCGATATAATGTTAGGTACAAGGGCACAGATGCGACGAATGTGACATTTTATTGCGGCAATAAAATGTCACATTAGTTGCATCTGTGTCCTTTTGCCTGACGCCTAACGAGTTGTTGTTACTGGGGTTCGAGGCGCACAACACCTGATTAGCTCCGTCTCTTATACTGGCTCGATCAGCGACTCCTGCACTTTGTGCGGATTGGTTGTGTATTATTCCAGTTAGTATTATACCTTTTTTTCTAGTCTTTCTATGTTATACCCATTCTTGATGCTGCGAATGGATATTGTTTTAAATCCTCGTCTGTTTCAGTCCTCTTCTCTACTGTACTTTTCTGAGACTACAAAACTGCTTTCATAATATGACTCACCTGTTTCTTCCTGTTAATAACTCTTAAGATTTTATCTCCCAAATGTTTATATATATATATATATATATATATATATATATATATATATATATATATATATATATATATATATATATATATATATATATAATATATTAGTGTATGTTGTTATTTTTTCCTTTTCTTTTCAGGAGTGTAATTTCGTGAGGTAGTGGACCAAGTGAACTCCAGCCTCATCTTGGCGTCACTCACAACCAGCGGCTGTCACTCACAACCACCAGCAGCTATCATTCACAGCCAACAGCTGTCAATCACAAAAAAATCGGCTGTCATTCAAAGATTTACATAAACTCCAAGTACACAAGCAGTGACCACGAAGCTGGCAAGTGGACTGGTCACCGGTACCACAGCTCGGCATCATGAGGATCAACAGCACCTCTGATTCCTACGAGTACAGCAGCTCCTTAGAATTTCTGGACCACGAAGAGAAAAAGCACTTTCTCGCGTCAAGAGTAATGCGGATGTGTGCCAGTGAAAGAAGCTGCATCTGTGACAGTTGACACATTCGAACACCGACTCTCCGCACCCACTTTGCCTATGGTTATCTGTTTGTCTTATGAGAGTCCCGTGGAATCATTTATTCCACTAATGAAATGTTAAATCATGTGATTCTCATGGGCACTGGTAAACGGAAGATGGCCTTGACGGCAGGTAAATTTCTTAGGCGGAGACAAGGAAAGGGATCGAATATAGTTGCTGGCGGATTCAAGGAATCAACGGCAGTTGTTGAAGGATTTAAGGAGAGAAATCGAAGATAGTTGCTGGCAGATTCAAGGAATCAATGGCAGTTGTTGAAGGATTCAAGGAGAGAATTCGAAGATAATTGCTGGAGGATTCGAAGGAACGGAATCGAAGATAAATGCAGGAGGATTGGTGGAATTGGATCGAAGAATGTTGCTTGCGGATTTAAGGAAAAGAATCGAAGAAAACTGGTACTCAGAGAATTTCCAGACGGTACTGAAGACTCTGGAATAAAAAACAAGACGAACCAGAGGGGCCAAGATGTCTCATGGTGGAGCCTGACGTGTTTCAGCAGATGTTGTTGTTATGTGAGAGAAGCATGGCAGTTGGGTCTTGGATGATTCCCTCCCGGATTAATGGTTGAGAGTTGCGTCCTCGTAACTAAGTTTTCACTGCCACGTTGCCCCGCGCCAGCGACCCTTGGCACTGGGATGCCAGTTATATCCAATTGATTGTGTTACCAATATTTATTACACATTTGTGTTCTTGGTGGCGTCTAGTGTTCATCTAGACACCAAGACAAGTGGCAAGACGGAGTGGCATAGATGAACAGCAGTCTAGTAAACATAATCTGTATTCCCAGTTTGTTTTACTGACAATGCCAATAAACAGGTGGCTAGAATTATTTTTAATATGACTTTGGAAAAGCTCAAACGCTGGTGTTAAGGCGCGTGAAAAACTGTAATACATCTCATACAAATTTCCAGCTTTCATCTTAAAAATGCGTCTACACGAACGCAAATATGTGAGAAATCTCAGTTTGACTCGGAGTTCACACAGCTGTGTGACTGCTGTCACCTCTGCACAAAGGTGGTGGCGACGCAGTAATGAAGCTTGATGTGTAGTGATGTAGTGAAGCTCTGAAACTCGAGAATGCCGCAGCTGTTACTGGTACTTATGGCCATAGTGTTACTTCTACTGAAACTATCTCTTTCGCCGCTCCTGCTGACCTCTCTAGCATCTGTTTATGCTATTTTAGCCTAACATGCTACTGTATCTCTGTCTCTCTCTACTCATGTTACTTCACGACTGGAAAATGCTAAATCTTCACAAGGACCCTTGTAGACTATTTACCTCAATCGACGGCTCAGCACTTGTGTCCACGACACTTGATGACCTTCATCACCACCATACTCTGTGTTCCATTTCCAGTCATCGAGGTTCTGAAAATTTATTTATACCTGTATAAATAAATATATATATAATGCTTCGCCTTTGTTATGAGAGTAGTACCAGAAAGCATGTAGAACGTCAGCAGTGTTTAACCTGAGCATTGAAATTGAGCAGAGATGCAGCTGAAGTTCCGTAGAGGAGCATCTAGTGACATTTGTGTAGTGCACAGGTTGTGTGTAGGTCCACGGGTAGCCACCGAGTCTGCAACCCCAAATGAGTTTGTAGTCACACTCGTTCACTAGTTATTGGCTTTCATGAAATGTCTAGGTCTGGCAGGCTGCCAAAGTCCTGAGTGTAACAAGGCGTTTCTTTGTGAGCAGTAAGGAAACATTGCTTTTAATCCGCAGTACAAGGCAATACACGAGCACATACAGTTTAATGCGTCGCCTACGCCAAGAGGGCAGGTCCCATTGTCGTGAAGGCATGTTTTCATAAACGCCTAAAGGAGGTTGTATGCCACAGGCGTATTTCCTCAGGGCACTTTGTTCGGCCCCAGAGGTCGGTGATATAAAGCAAAAATTATATGAATGAGGTAGATTGTCGTTGATGATGCGATATCTTCCCTGCAGCCGAAGGAAGCGTTGATGGCTTTGTGATTGGTCTCAAGTAACATGATGTTACTGAGACAAGCCAGAGTTCCTAATGGCTGGCCAGGTGGATACGCGACGAGAGACCTTATGACCTGGCTGTTTCATTCCTTGTTGCGTCAGTTATGGAGTATTGTCTCTCTCTCTCACACACACACACACCTTCAAGTGTACCTTGTTAGCGTACTTCCACTGAATATTTCAGTACTGTTATTTAGATGAGTGCAAGGGTCTCTCCACACTAAATCATTTCATAAAACTGTGTAAACATTCCCCAAGCCAACAACACACCTGAGATAGATTATTTTGTTAACTTAAAACAATGGGTCAGGGTATTAGGTTGGACTGCGTGTGATGTGGTCACTGTGCATCACCTCTCAGATGATCGCTAATGGGATATGGATTTTTTTTTTTTTTTGGGTGTGTGTAGATTTTTTGGTAGTGTTTTAGAATTACTGATGATTCCTCCAGCTATGCTGGTGCCCATCACCGCAGTCTGGCCAAGAACCTACATTATTTATACTTGTTAATCAGGTGGTGAGTGGCCACCCCCGAATTCTGAGTTACCGCTCGAGATGGAGTAAAGCTTCGCATGGGCCAGTAGGCCTTCTGCAGTGTTCCTCCATTCTTATGTTCTTATTTATCTAGACAACAAGCTTCCCGTGATCTTTCAGTGACCACTCAGCGGGGACTTCAGACTTCAGGCAAAGGTCGAGTACACGCCTCAAAGGGTAAAAATGGACTCGGGAACGGTAGGGGCAGTGTTTCCAAGCTGTTCTCTGCTCTAACAAGGCAATCAGTGGCTCTAACGTAGTATAGATAGACATACATCGCGTCTATTATTCCGTTTACACAGTACTGCATTAGAATTAAGCATATGCAAAGATAAATGTTTAGGTTCTGAGTCGCTGTCAGGACAATTCGTTAGAACGGCGGCCAGCTTGGGATGGCTGCCCCCTCGTCGCCCCCCACCCCCCCCTCCCACATACTGCCAGAACTTGCAGTCTTCCCGTATATTAATTGATGGCCACAAAAAGGGTATAAATATGGCTCATAAAATGTGCCCCGATTTATGTACATCTTTTACGTCTCTGCGAAAGAAAGAAATTTTTACCCTTTTGCTAAGTCAAATTTAGCGTTCCAAAAATATAATAGGTAAGATTAAAAAAAAAAAAAGTGAGAATACGAATTTACAAGAATTCTGATTTTTGTACTGAATGAATAAAAAAAATCAGTTAGTAAACCTGTAAATTGCTAGAAAACGTTACGAAATTTTTTTTGTTTTCTTAAATTTAAGAAAAGAAATTGTTTTTCGTAACGTTTTCTTAAATTTAACGGGTTCTAAAGGTCACTTGCTTTTATTGGGTACAGTTTTTTTCCTTCGAGCGTCTTTGTGACTGTCTAATGGGCATTAAACACTATGAAATAACTCGTGGCATTATGAAAAAGGCATCTTAAAATCTAGGGCTTAAAACGAAAAAAAAAAAAATACCAACAAACAGGGACACTGCAACCTTCTGTCTTTGGAGTAGCTCAAATGAATTATAAATAATATATGACTAGCTGTTACGTTGTTACCAGGTGTAAATATGGACTCCCTTAGGTTTCCCTCCGTACATAACAAAAAAAAATATGTGAAAAATAAAGAAAAAAGCCTTCTTATCTTTTCCCCTCTGAGAATACTCTCCTATTCCAGAGGGATGAGCAGACGACGCAGGTAAGCAGCCACACTTGGATGGTCGAACCATGATACTGATAAGCGTGAGGTTCGACCATCCATCCCCCATATTGGATGTCTGCGTCTTCTGCGATCTGCGGAGCTTTACCAGATGGCGTGCGTTCGCTAGTGTCGGCAGAATTAGACAGCTTCTAGACTCTAACAAAGATAGAAATTAGATGTTAGCCTTAAAAAAAACACGTGATACAGTTTTATTTATTCTTGATTTAATCAGGTTAAAATATATATAGATATATACATATGCGAATATTACTAAATAAAAGCAAAAACAGTGATGATTACCTCACAAGTCTAAAGAGAAGCGAAATTGTTTGAAGCGACGTGGACGCGGCCATGACTTTTGTTACTGTTAATACATCTTCATTCCCACTGATATTATGTTCTTTGTAACCTTGTAAGCGATGTGAAGACCTAAGTTATATTTTAATAAATAGATATAATCCATTTGTTTTTAATCATTTCCTCGAGGGGTGAAAGGTGAGATCATATTATGTTACTGCTTACCCAGGAGCTGTGACTCGACCCCTTGCAACCACAAATAGGTGTTTACACTCAATATATGTACGCCTACGTGTACACACCATACATGTACAGATTGTAAATATTAAACACATGCGCATTTTGCACACAGTACATGTATATGTACACTATATATGCGTACGTTTCATATATGTATACGCATCACACATGTGCACACTATATATGCACTCCATACATGTACACAACCCACACATGCACACGCAGATATATACACTCCATATATGTACACAGACATACACACTCCATGTTTGACTCCATATTTTTACGCACTCCATACACGTACATGCACTAAACATGTACACACACTAATATACACACACTTTGCACTTCATATATGTACACCCTCCAGAAATATGCAGGAAGATCTCGCCGACACTTCCTGTTTCTCATTCGGTGAGTTGGAAGCGAATATTGAATGACCACAAAAAAATAACCTAGATATCTGGACCTGGAGTTTACCTGGAGATGGTTTCAGTGGTCAACGGCCTCGCGGCTCGGTCTGAGACCAGGCCTCATGGTGGATCGGGGTCTGATCAACCAGGCTGTTACTGCTGGCTTCACGCAAGTTGACGTACGAACCACAGCCCGGTTAGGGCTGTGGTTCGTACGTGGTTCTGTAGTGTGGTTCTGTACGTTCGTAGGTGCCTGTCTAGTGCACAGGAAACATGTTAAATATACGACAAAGTAAGATTAACCTAGATATAAAAGATATTTTGACGAGTAAGTTGCATGTGCAACAGATGGGTGTCTGTTGCACATATGTGCAACAGATGGGTGTCTGTTGCACATATGTGCAACAGATGGGTGTCTGTTGCACATATGTGCTACTCATCAACTTGTCAATATTTTATACCATTCTCAGCAAAAGAAATCTTGGACAAAATTAACAGCTTCCCATAAGCAAAATTATCAACCAGTGAAACTTGGTCTTATAAAAAATCGACAGTTGAAAATTGACAAGAAACAACTTTGCCTGCAGGTGATTCAGAGTCACACCATCAGAGTGACACAGTGAAAAAAAAAACATCACGGGCGGGGCTTGAACTCGCGGTCAGAGAGTCGGCTGTAAAAACTTGCATTTGTGGTCACAGTGGTGCTTATGATAACATTCCTATGGTGTTTAAATATACCTAGTTGGTTGAATCATATTGTAGCCAGCTGGCTCAGTGGCTAACGTGTCTGTCTGGAGTTTTAAGACTCTCTGACCGCGGGTTCAAGCCCCGCCCGTGGTATGGTTTTGTTTCCAATAGTGTTACTACGATTTCGTGAGTCGTGACACATTGGTGTCCGCTGAAGTCATCTGGAAACGACATCCTTATATGTTTAAGTGTGAGGGTTATAATTATACACTCATTAGCGACACAACCTGGACGCACTCAAGCGCTGTATTCTCATGTGCTTATATATACATATGAAGAATATTTTCATCAACTGGTGTCCAGCTGCAGTCCTTACTTTGAGAAATATTTAACTCTTAATGCTTCGCTAGTCAAAAGAGATTTCACAAACTCAATTTTCTTTTATATCTTCACCCTCCTCCATCTCTTCGCTGTACTCGCTGAGGCAAATTAAACAAATTTTGATGCTGCAGGAAATATATTTCAAAAATAGAAAGAGTTGTTTCATGACAAAATAATTTTGATTGCGTGATTACTACGTACGGCAGAGTCTTTCTTTATAGTCGTAAATACGTAATCAGGAATGTGATAACTCATTTAACTTTGTTTTAATGAAAAGATAACAAGAGCCCTGACAAATATTTGAATTAAAAGATGTAAAATCCTTCTTTTTCATCCTTGAGTCATTTTCGTTCATCATAATGGTGGTCTTCCAGCATCGTGCGTCCTCAGTGGTCCATCACAAGACAGTGTACATAAACACTATGCCATTGCTCAGTCCTGGACTGCCACTGTATGCTATTAATGCCATATTGCTACTAGTAATGACGGACTTAAATCCTGTACCGCAGAATATGTAACTGGATGAGGATGGGTAGGTCTTCTTTCCATTGCCGTTCACCAAGACGTAGTCCAGTATGCACCCAGGAGTATAGTAAGTTATGATGTACATTTGAATTAGGATTTTCCTACCCACTGGAGCCTGTGGGAAAGAAGTGGAGCATTAAACACGAGAGACTGATGGTTTGAGATAACTGGGCCATTTGACCAGGGAGACTCTGGGAGATGAGTGGGCCATTCGACCAGGAAGACAGTGGGAAAGGGCCACTCATCATGTGTTAAGTGAGATACTTGATGGACGAAAAATCTTATGGGAAAGAAGAATTTCGTTAGATGTCTGGCTTAACAGTACATCGATTAGTTAATCAGGCTTAAAGTCTTTCGATTGCACAACTACACGAGGATCATTAAGGTTGTGTGTAACCTGTTTAACTATCAGTCAAGGTGATATTAATTCTTAATTTAGGGAATAAGGTGCACTCAGCATATATACACCAAGGCATACACCACTTAGTATTATTGTCTTGTGTTTATCACTGGCAGTTTATTAGTATATGTATAACTTACTTCGTAAAACTTCTGTATAACTATTTAATGTAATGAAAGGAAATACCACGTAACAGAGGTTAAATTAAAGTGGCTTACCACGATCCACCATTCACACTGGGTGAGGCTGGAGTGCAGTTGGCTGCTCAAGAAACCTGGGGTGGTGAAGAAGTTAGTGTTTCCAGCCAGGGTAGTGTTAACCAGCTGGAAAATATCAAGGGAGGTTATTTACAGAGCTGAGAACGGAAGGTAAACGCCTAATAAAAGAATGAGAAAATAACGAAGAGAGCAATGTGCGGTATTATTATTATTATTATTATTATTATTATTATTATTATTATTATTATATATATTAGTATTAGTATTATTATTATTATTATAACTATTATTAATTTTAGCATTATTAGTATCATTATTATCATATTAAAACGCTATTATTTTTTTGTAATAATTACATTATTACTATTATTGTTACAAGGTAATGCTGATGGTAAAGGACTCACCACATGGCAGGAGTTTTGTACAGGACAGATGGTAATGCTGAAGCCTCTATTATTGTATTTGCTGTCTGCAACGAAGAGCATGTTGAAGTTGAAGGAAGGAGATGAGAGAGTCCAAGAGCTGGTCGACGTGTACCTGTGAAGATGCAGGTCACAGTCACGTTAAGCGAAGAATATTTTATGGGGGCTTTGGTAAATCAGTTCGATTTTATAATATAGATTCAGACTAAAAATATTTTCTTTTCTGTTAACTGTTTATGTGTACGAGGGAGGGTGTTCACCTAGACTCAGTTTGCGGACTCTATCTCTTGGATTCGGTCATTAATTTTCACTTGGCTGGCGTAGTCTCTATTGCACTTCCGTTTTATCCCATGACTGGTTCTTGCTGACTGTGCCATTCTCTCATTTTCTCCAATTTTCAACTAGCTCAAAGCTGATCGATTGCTTCCTAGCATTCTCACTCATTACGTTTATAACAGAAAGGAAGTAGTTGCCATATGCGTCACTGAGACTCATGAACAGGTATGATAGAAGCAGTGCGGTAACCAGGTCCTACATTTGCATTGAATTTACATTCTTGTTCTCTCATCCAAGTCCCTACATAGTAAGTTGAACGCGTCTAGGAGGTTGGGATTGGTCTTTCAAGAAGTTGGAGTGATGTTACGGTTAAGAGAATGATATACAGGTAAAGGGAAATCATTGGTAACAGGCATATGATCTAGATATTGGTGGGTATACCTGGAGTATACTTGGAGGGTGTCCCGGGTGGGTCAACGGCCCCGCGGCTCGGTCCATGACCAGGATGGGGAAGGGTAAGTAACAACTGAAAGACTATACACCCTTCCTGATCCTCTTTTTGAAATAAGTGTAACTACTCAACAGATACATGAGTCTTATGCTTTTCCTGTCGATCCTGACACCCATTTTAAGAGGAATAAGAGACTCTTACCTGGGCTTTTGTGGGATAGCCACCCCCGGGAAGGGGGGCAAAAGGGGAAGCCCGGGGGGCACAGCCCAGGGGTTTTTTCCCACCAAATTTGGGTTTCACCTGCCACACCCAGGGGTGTTGTTCCCGCCCACCCGGGGGAATGGTTCCCTCCACACCCGAGGGGGTTCACCCACACCCCGTATTTAGGGTTCCCACCAAACCCCCCGGGGGGGCCCCAGGGGGGGGGTTTTCACCAGGCCACAGCCCAGGTTGGGGGTTTTTCCCCTCCCCCATTTTGGGGGCCCCCCCCCAAAAGGTTTTTTTCCCCAAAGGGGGAAAAATTTGAAAATTTTAAGAAAAATAACCCAATGGGGTTTTTTGGATTTTGCCCAATAGTGGGTTCACCGGGCCCCCAGGGGGGGAAAAGAAGGGAATGTAAAAAATTTTTAAAAAAGGGGGGGTTTTTTCTCCAAAAAACCCGGGGGAAAAAAAAAAAGAAATTTTTGGGGTTTTTTTTTTTTTTTAAATTTTTTTACCCCTTTCCCCCCCCCAAAAAAAAAAAAATTTTTCCCAAAACCCCCTTTCTAAAAAATTCCCAAAATGGTTTAAAATTTTTTAAAATTCCCCCTTTTTTCCCCATTTAAAAATTTGCAGCTTTGGGATAATTAACCCTTACAGATAAAATTTTAATCCCAACTCGTAATTGTATTTGTACCAAAAATAACTTACAAATTGGACCTTTTTTAAACATTTATTTTGATTAAAATCGAAATTTTTGTAATATTTAAAATTTAATTTTTTTTATGGAAATTAATTTTTGATTAAATATAATTTTTTTTAACCTGTTCCACAATGCCTTAAAACCCCCTTTTTCTATATTAAACCCCTTCATCCTAACAATACGGGGAAAAAGATACTTTATATAGATTTAATATTACCCCAGAAAACTGCGTAATTTCACCAATCAGGGGTTGGTTGATTCACCTGATCCGAATTGGAAGTTACCGCCACAAGGTAAGGATGTTACCTGTCAGCCCATATTAAATGGTTCACCTTTGCCACAGCACAGAAAGTGGTGATGGTTCACCTTTCAAGCCAGTTTGTGATGGTTCACCATGCCACAGCCCAGGTATGTGAGGGTTTTCACATGCCAGCCAGAGAGTTGATGGTCCATCTAAAAGCCCAGTAGTTTTAATGTTCACCTCCACAGCGCACAGGTAGTGTGATGGTTACCATGCTAAGCCCAGGTAGTGTAAAGGTTCACCATGCACACGTATGTATGGTTCACAATGCCACGCCCATTAGTGTGAGGTCACCATGCCACAGCCCAGTAGTGTGATGGTTCACCATGCACAGAAAGGTAATTGTGAGGGTTCACCATGCCACAGCCCAGGTAGTGTGATGGTTCACCATGCCACAGCCCAGGTAGTGTGATGGTTCACCATGCTACAGCCCAGGTAGTGTGATGGTTCACCATGCCACAGCACAGGTAGTGTGATGGTTCACCATGCTACAGCCCAGGTAGTGTGATGGTTCACCATGCCACAGCACAGGTAGTGTGATGGTTCACAATGCCACAGCCCAGGTAGTGTGATGGTTCACCATGCCACAGCCCAGGTAGTGTGATGGTTCACCATGCTACAGCAGAGGTATTGTGATGGTTCACCATGCCACAGCCCAGGTAGTGTGATGGTTCACCATGCCACAGCCCAGGTAGTGTGATGGTTCACCATCCACAGCCAGGTAGTGTGATGGTTCCCCATGCCACCAGCCCAGGAGTGTGATGGTTACCATGCCACAGCCCAGGTAGTGTGAGGGTTTCACCATCCCACAGCAGAGGTATTGTGTGGGTTCACCATGCCACAGCCCAGGATTTTGATGGTTCACCATGCTACAGCCCAGGTAGTGTGATGGTTCACCATGTACAGCCCAGGTATGTGAGGTCCAATATCCTTTTTTTCACCAGCCACAGCCCAGGTAGTGTGATGGTTCACCATGACGGGCCAGGTAGTGTGATGGTTCACCTGCCACAGCCCAAATAGTGTGATGATTCACCATGCACAGCCCAGGTAGTGTGAGGGTTTCACCAGCTACAGCCCAGTAGTTGTGAGGGTTTTCACCATGCCACAGCCCAGGTTATTTGTGATGGTTCACCATGCACAGCCCAGGTAGTGTGATGGTTCACCATGTACAGCCCAGGTAGTGTGATGGTTCACCATCCCAACAGCCCAGGTAGTGTGATGGTTCACCATGCTCCCAGCCCAGTAGTGTGATGGTAATACCATCCACACCCAAAATTAGTGTGATGGTTCACCATGCTACAGCCCAGGTAGTGTGATGGTTCACCATGCCACAGCCCAGGTAGTGTGATGGTTCACCATGCCACAGCCCAGGTAGTGTGATGGTTCACCATGCCACAGCCCAGGTAGTGTGATGGTTCACCATGCTACACCCCAGGTAGTGTGATGGTTCACCATGCTACACCCCAGGTAGTGTGATGGTTCACCATGCTACACCCCAGTAGTGTGATGTTCACCATGCCTAAAAGCCCCGGGTAGTGTGATGGTTCACCATCCACAGCCAGGTAGTGTGAGGGTTCCCCATGCACAGCCCAGGTAGTGTGAATTCACCATGCCACAGCACAGGTAGTGTGATGGTTCACCATCCCTCAGCCCAGGAGTGTGAGGGTTTCACCATGCCACAGCCCGGTAGTTGTGATGGTTCACCATGCTACAGCACAGGTATTGTGATGGTTCACCATGCCACAGCCCAGGTAGTGTGATGGTTCACCATGCTACAGCCCAGGTAGTGTGAGGGTTTCACCATGAAAAGCCCAGGTAGTGTGAGGTTCACCATCCCACAGCCCAGTAGTGTGATGGTTCACCATGGACAGCCAGGTAGTGTGATGGTTCACCTCCCACAGCCAATAGTGTGATAGTTCACCATGCCACAGCCCAGGTAGTGTGATGGTTCACCAGGCTACAGCCAAAGGTATGTGATGGTTCACCATGCCACAGCCCAGGTAGTGTGATGGTTCCCATGCCACAGCCCAGGTAGTGTGAGGGTTCACCATGCAACAGCCCGGGTAGTGTGGGTTCACCATGCCACAGCCCAGGTAGTGTGATGGTTCACCATGGTAACAGCCAGGTAGTGTGATGGTTCACCATCCACAGCCCAAGTAGTGTGATGGTTCACCATCCCACAGCCAGGTAGGCGATGGTTCACCATGCCACACCCCAGGTATGTGATGATTCACCATGTCACAGCCAGGTAGTGTGATGATTCACCATGCCACAGCCGGGAGTGTGATGTTCACCATCCCACAGCCCGGTAGTGTGATGGTTCACCATGCACAGCCAGGTAGTGTGATGGTTCACCAGGCTACAGCCCGGGTTTGTGTGTCCTCTGGAGGGGATTCCAATCCACAGCCCGGGTTAGTGTGATGTCACCATGCACAGTCCAGGTAGTGGGGAGGGTTCACCATGCTACAGTCCAGGTAGTGTGAGATTTCCATGCCACGGGCCCAGGTAGTGTGATGATTCACCATGCCACACCCCAGGTAGTGTGATGGTTCACCATGCCACAGCCCAGGTAGTGTGATGGTTCACCATGCCACAGCCCAGGTAGTGTGATGATTAAACCATCCCAAGCCCAGGTAGTGTGATGATTCACCATGCCACAGCCCCAGGTAGTGTGATGGTTCCCCATCCCACAGCCCGGGTTGTGTGATGATTCCCATCCACAGCCAGGTAGTGTGAATTCCCATGCCCCCAGCCCCAGGTAGTGTGATGGTTCACCATGCCACAGCCCAGGTAGTGTGAGGGTTTCCCACCATCCCACAGCCCAGATAGTGTGAGTTCACCATGCCCCAGCCCAGTATGTGAGGGTTTCACCAGCCACAGCCACAGGAATGTGATGATTCACCTGCACAGCCCAGGTAGTGTGAGGGTTCACCATGCACAGCCCATTTATTGTGATGAGTCACCATGCTACAGTCCAGGTAGTGTGATGATTCACCATACCACAGCCCAGGTAGTGTGATGGTTCACCATGCCACAGTCCAGGTAGTTTGATGATTCACCATGCCACAGCCCAGATAGTGTGATGATTCGCCTTTCCCAGCCAGGTATGTGTGATTCACCATGCTACAGCCCAGGTAGTGTGATGGTTCACCATGCCACAGCCCATTTATTGTGATGAGTCACCAT